CCCCCGGCCGCCGCCTTCCCCGGGCGGCGGGCAGGCGGGAATCAGCGCCGGGGACGGCCGCCCTTTCCTGGATCCTCCTCTCTTGCCTCTTCCCTCCCCGGGACGCCGGCTGGAACGGAGCCGAGAGCCTCGGCCGCCCGGCAGACGGATGCCCCGGCAGGTTAGTGCGCTGCCCTCCGGCCCCTCCTGCCACCGGGGCTGCGGCCAAGACTGCAGCTGAGCGGGGGACCCCTGGAGCAACAGCCAGCAGGCAAAAAGGTTGGGAAACTCCATTTTGAGTTTTAAACTGCCTGGCCTCTGAGAAAGCTGTCCGGCACTGGCAAAAGGACTGGAAAGTTTGTGCATGCTGAGACACAAGGCTCTGCCTGTGCCAAGGATGCTGCCCACGGCCGGGCTGGAGCGGCAGAGGGGGTGCAGGAGAGCCTGGACCTCACGGCCAAGAGCCGCCCTGGCAGGGGCGATGTGCCAAGGGGGAACGGCGCAGGGCTGGCCAACACATCGGGGAAAAATGCAGAGATGAGGCTGTCAGTAAGTGTTTCCATCTGCGCCTTGGCCGGTGCCGTGCCTGACGCTGCCACGCGGACGGGGCTGCTGAGACCACCGGAGGATGCTTGTCCCCGCCTGGGGAGGGGGTTTGCTGGAGGTGCTCAGGGCTCCTGCCTCAGGATGGCCAGGCACAGAGCACGTGGGGACACCAGGACACGTTGGGGACGTAGCCTGCAGGGAGCCTTTCAGGGTGCTCCCGGGCTGGGTGGCATCCCTGGGCTGTGCTTGGGGCACCCAAGAAAGTCCAGCCGGCCGTGGTCTTCTTTAATAAATGTAATTTTCCCCAGGAGCCCCGGTGTGTGTCAGGTTTAGGGGCAGGGACTGCACTTTAGAGGGAGGGGGAGAGGCAGGGAAGTTGCTCACAGTAGCTTTTAATGGTGAAGATTTGGTGCGGTGCGGTGGCGTGTCTGGACGTGCACCGGCACCTCAGGAGCTGGTCCCGGGCGGTGACGTGGGCCGGGCTCGGCACAGGGGTTTCTGCCCTCACCACTGCCGGGACGCAAGCGCAGCAGGGTGCTGGCACGGCACGGACACAGTGCTGGAAGGGTGCGGACATGGCGACGTCCAAGGCCCCGGGACGGCTGGGGTGGGAGGAGGCAGAGGCCGTGGGGAGCAGTGGCTGGGCCCCCACCTCCGCCAGAGCCACCGGGCTCGCCGGGAGCCGGTGC